AACATAGGGCAGCACCTTCTGGTATATTATGGATGGCTATAGAGCCGAAAACGAGCCCACCGAGGTGGGATTTGTCCGAGGCTGACGACAAACCGAGGCAGAGGCCCTCTCCTAGGGAGTGGACCATCATACCCAATAATACCACTGCAGCTCGACTAGCACGGGCTCCTTTCAATGTCCCAAGATGCTCTAAAGGGTTGGCAGTGAAGAATCTATCTACTATGAGCATCAAGCCCACACCAAGCGCCACACCAGCTATAATCACAAGCAGGCTTGCACTGGTGGAGTAGGCCTCGCACATGAGTACTGTACTGCATCCAGTCATCATACCTGCGGCTACTGCTACACATACCTGAGTAGAATGTTAAACCTAGAGTACAGGATAACAGTACTACTCCTGATATCTTGTCGTTCAAAGTCCCTAGTAAACCCAATGAAAAGGAACCAATAAGAGTGGTACCCGCTGTTAGGCAGCAATACAGAAGAAAGTCCAACGCTGATTTAGGCGACTCCATATCATAGTGTGGAGGAGTCATTGAGAGAGATAAGTTATAGCTGGGACCATATGCATATGCTTACTATTGGTCGCGTCACGCGACCTCTCCCGACTGTGCACATTTCCATGGCGAGCGCTGAATTAAAATTTCCCTTCAGCAGCACCAGCAGAGAGGAACAGCCAAGTGGGCATCGTGGTGAAGCTTATGTCATAGTTGAATCGTTTACCTCTCGTATCTCTGGTATAGTAGCTCTTGTGTTGACTAGTTGGGTAGCTCACATTGCAAACTGTCTAATGATGGACTCGATTTAGGCAACATTGACTGGTGGTAGTTGATCAAGGCCCAGTAGTAGATGAGTTGTTCGTCGGTGGATAGTAACTCCACCCAACCTACGTCTACATCAGATGCACAGAAGCGTCCTCGAACAGGGTCGATAGGGCCTAACCGACGTGTTTATACTCCCGACGGTCTGAGACCATATCTTGAGGTCATCGACCGTTGCTGCTCTGATGATATCCTCATGGAACCTACTATTGCATGCTTTAATAGTGATGATGTACGCCAAGTCTTCGATAACATCACTGGCTCGGCAGGGAGGCAAACTTGGTAAGTCCACACGGTAGGCGAGGCCCTCACCGCAGGTTGTGGGGAATAGGACATATTGGTTCAGGCAGAACTATGGCAAGCTGACTGTTCATCTACCCCAGCTAGAATCATTGGTCTCGATTATTATCAAAAGATTCCAGCCTGGGGAGGATACCTTGCTGTTTGAGCTCGGAGCCGGGAAGGGATTGCTCGGGAGGATAATATCGGATATGTCCGGCTGCAGGTGATGAGCCCCATAGGGAGTGGAAGGAGTGATTACCTTTGCTATAGGCACCTAGCATTAGACTGTCGTAATATTACTAGTGGATATGATGGTGAAGATGCCACTCAAGCCTGCTATGATGACGATTGTGATGATAAATCCGACACAGCGTCGAGTGGAGTCGGCAAAACAATAAGAGTACCACTCGGTATCATCTTCGAAAACTTCGGACCTCTATTCCCCCGCTTGTGAACAATCTTTGTCGTTTACCACACTCGGTGCATACCTCTGATCACATTGCTCAGGTTAGAGCGGATATCACTGCGACTGACTTACGGCATATAGTTGACTATCAGTGTAGGAAGATGAGAGAGGATGGTATCAAGGAGCCTAAGGTGGTATTGTGTGTATCTACCGCGTGGCACCCTCCTCCCTAGGTATTGTTCATTGCTAAGCACTTGTGTGGTAATGGTACAGATGCTGCCGTGAATGGTATAGCCCCTCTGTTGTGTCTTAATGCTGGACACGGTGATTGGACCGTTCGTGGAGCAGTACTTGCACCATGTTGCCATCCTAAGGCCACGATCGACGCCTTCGCAGGTAGTTCTCACCCGGATACCTCACTATGAAGTAGGGCTCTTGGGTGTCCAGGTCTAGAGTCCGATATGGCGATAATGGACCAGATAGAGGGGGAGTCTGGGCAGGAGTGGAGGAAGCAGGTGTGGGAGGTCCTCATGCAACTCCTGTAGTATCCTCCACAATAGCCGTTGCCTTTTAACGAAATCACGGATAATGGTGGCGTAGGTATATGTCGAAGCTAGGAGGTTCTCTCAAGCCGTCGGACTGCAGTTCTTGGTCAGCCATCACCTCCTCATTCACTTACTCGCAACTGCGTAAGAACCCCATTAGCTTCGCTCGTTCGATAGTACTCTCATCGTGTGCCTCCCTGCACACAGTCATAGGCCTCGGCTTGACCCCTGAATGGAACATCTCGTCCCTAGCAAGTTGAGGGTATCATCATCTCCTCTTCTATCTCTAGGTCGCCTTGGTCGGAAGTGTCGCATATTCTTAGAGTCGGTTAGGGCACGAAAGCTCGTGTCGGAGGGTGCTCTTGGTGATGTGGAGCTGATCCAGTAAGGGTGATCACCTATTCAAGGTTTGATGACCTAGAATAGGTATGCCTCTCAAAACGTTACCCCGGATAACCTAGCCATTGTCTATGACGCTTCTGGCAAGTTTGACTTGAAGTGGGACTCTGAATTTCCCGGAGCTGTTGTGATTAGGGTAGCTTTCAGCGGTGGTGATGCGTAATTGAGTGGTAATTGTTGGATGCAGGTGTTGATGGATCAGAGTAGTAATAAGACTGTTACACTCCCAAAGAGGCTCTCGGAGTATATTCTAGGCATGAATTCTATCAACCCAGCGTGGCGGAGACTGGTCAGGTGATGTGGGGGCAGAGGTCACTCATAGAACATCGGCGTGCGTCAGATCCGCTTATCCCGTCTCTATATCGGATCTCGAATGCAATTCTCCCTCGGGCTGTGTGCAGGTTGAGTCTGCCGCATTGGTCCTTGTCAATGATAAGAGCGAATTGGTAGTATTCACGGTGTCTCGGAATGGGTTATGACTATGACATTATCTGTAGAGTAGTGATGAGCAGTACCCTCCAAAAAGCAAACTCCTAAGGGTATTCTCCTCAGGCATCCCTTATATCTCTCCTCAATAGCGATCCGTTGGTGCGAAGAGTTGTGTCCATGATGTATCCCATCACTCACCTGAGAGAGGAAGCTGGTGCCCACTCTTTGCCGGACCTAGCATCGGACCAGTTACCTGTGAGGACCTGTGCCGCACCCAACTCATTACAGCTCACCAAGGATATATGCAATGGTATAATACGGCACTACCCGGAACAGGGTTACCTATATCCTCAGATGAGAACTGTGGTAAAAACGGTGTCGTCTGTGATAAGTTGAGCCCTACCAAGTTCGTAAGCGTCTACTCGGGAGTCCAATTCATAGACGGTATCGACCCCTGGCCTGTCAGTAGCAATCCGAGATGCTGTAAGTGCCTCCATCTCCGTCATGACGCCAGTACGTTATACTCCTCGACCCACCCCAGGTACTTTCGGTTGGTCCATCGTTCCCCGTACTGAATGGAATCCTTCGCTTCTGAGGAGAACGCAGACTGCCAGGTAGTGGTGACCGGTAGGCCTCTCAGCTGATACCACAACGCAGGGGGAGGTGTATCATCAACCGTTGTCGATCTCTCGGCCGGTCATTCTGAGAGCGCTATATGT